GCTATATGAAATGAAATGAAATGAAATGGAATAGGGTTTAACGTCCTACTGTTCTGCTCCTAAACTGGGCTAATGAAGACGGTAGAGCTATATGCCCTTTAGGTTGGTTATGAGAGAGAGAGAGAGAGAGAGAAATGGTGTTTAACGTCCACTCGACACAAACTAGGTCATTTCGGGACTAACACATAGTTCAATTTTATTTCAACAATTCGCTTGCGCGTAGGGGACTTTAGCAGTGGGAGGAAACCGGAGGACCCGGAGAAAACCCACGAGGTTGGACAGGCGACCCTACTCTTTGTGACGTAAAACCGGGGAATCGAAACCCCGCCAGTTTACTCAATGACAGGCCGTATGATACATCGCGCACGTGCTAACCATTCGGCCACCCAACCCCCAAGTTCCAAAGAGCTATACGCCCTTTAGGTTAGTTATGAGAGGAAGGGGAGTATGGTCCTTAGTTGTCGGGAGGTCACGGTGGCAAAAGTGGGTAAGACGCTGGCTCGCTAGCCGGAAGGTCAGGTGTTCAATCCCTGCATTGGCCGAGAAAGTTCATCCAGATTTTCCGGCGTGGTCCCGCCTTGTCAGTGATGCAGGACAGATGTCTAGTCGCTCGGATAGTACGAAACACCAAGGTCCTGTGTACATATTAACGTGCACGTAAAAAATCCCTTGGCAGTTGGAATTCGATATCACAGTAGCGCAGATAATATGGAGCTGGGTCAGGAAATTCGCTTCCGATTATGACCGAGAAAATATCCGGGGTTTTCTAGCGTGGTTTCCCCTCATTGTCAGTGATGTAGGCAGTGGGGGTGGGGTTGGGGCAAGTGACATTGTGTAGTCGTTCGGATGGGATAAAAAAAATCCCGAGGTTCTGCGTATACGTTGGAGAGTTTGTAATTCAACATAAAAGCGTCGCTGTGAAGGCATAATTTCCATCATAGCACATCATATGCTGTATAACCGTCTTAATTATCCCGGTTGTGGCGGAAAGGCAGGATAACACCCAAAGCGGACGTAGGCTCTGAACTTTTATGTATTCAATGATAATATACGAACTATATTTATTTTTGTCTGGTGTTAATCAAATTATGTTATCTGCTATCAGGCAATTGAAATCTCATAAGTACAAATTAATTAACAGCTATGGGCCAATTACTGATCTTTATTAGACTGTCAGCTTATTCGGTTATATAAGAACAATGGAACTACACGAGGAAACCTGTTATTCGGTTATATAAGAACAATGGAACTACACGAGGAAACCTGGTCATTTCATATCTATTACCGTTCTCTTCATTAGGAGACAGTAGAAAATATTAAATTATTATTTAAAGTGATAATAGACAAATAAATAGATGATAATATAAAGCATCCTTTCAAATTCTCGATTTAATCCCCTTTTCAATAATTAATCATAAACGAAGAGGCGCCTAATTAGTGGCAATAAACAGGATGATTGATGGAAATAGACCTCGTCATTGACTTATTATAATGAAGTAAGTTCTATTGAAGTCATTGTTAATTAGACTGGTCAGATTTCATATTGCCCGAGAACAGTCAATACATCAAACTAATTTTTTAATATGAAAAATAAGGTGGCAATAAACAAGACCGGGTGTTCTTAAAGGAATCACTTTAGATGAGACGTGTAATGAAATGAAATGAAATGGGGTTTAACGTCCTACTGTTCTGCTCCTATACTGGGCTAATGAAGACGGGCATACGCCATACAGTGTGCCATGAGGGAAATTTTGCCCGGGCAGCGGCACTATCGCTTACTCTTATATCGAATTCCAACTGCCAAGGGATCTTTTACGGGCATTAGATGTATACACGGGACCTCGGTTTTTCGTCCCATTCATTTGAATTGGTATATTCCTTTAAATTGACTATTCACAACACAATATTGAAATAGGGCCATGATGACATAGCACTGTATCATGTTTTCGTAAAATATTTTGCTGTGGGATATGATACCAGATACGCGGAATTTACTTTCAGAATATAAATCATATGTGTCATCTTTTATCCAAAATAACTTTATCAAATTTAATATTTTTATGGTTTATTTCCGAAAAAAATCTTTACTTCATCCATACTCTAATAAGACATGAAATGCAATGAAATGGAATGGGGTTTAACGTCCTACTGTTTTGCTCCGAACTGGGCTAATGAAGACGGCGGACATACGCCATACAGTGTGCTATGAGGGAAATTGTGCCCGGGTAGCGGCACTAAGTCCTACTCTTATATCGAATTCCAACTGTCAAGGGATCTTTTACGCGCTATAAGACACTTAATAATAAACAGGTACATCGTCTTGATCTAGAGACTAGTGTTTCCCCACAGTGGGCGGGGTGTGAGACGATTCATTAGAGCGGTGACGAAAACATCCGTGATAGGTGCGAGAAAATGAAATGAAATGAAATGGGGTTTGACGTCCAACTGTTCTGCTCCGAACTGGGCTGATGAAGACGGGCATACGCCATACAGTGTGCTATGAGGGAAATTATGCCCGGACAGCAGCACTACGGCCTACTCTTATATCGAATTCCAACTGTCAAGGGATCTTTTACGTGCACGCCAATGTGTACACGGGACCTCAGTTTTTCGTCCCATCCGAACGACTAGACAGCTGTCCTTGTCAGGCCCTCCCCGTCCTGCATCACTGACAAGGGGGAACCACGCCGGAAAATCTGGATGAACTTTTTCGGCCAGTGCAGGGATCGAACACCCGACCTCCAGGCTAGCGAGACAGCGTCTTAACCACCTAGCCACCGTGATCCCCAGGTGCGAGAAAAAGAAACAATGGATGAAAGGAAACAGTAATAATCAGGCCCAAAGGAAGGTGTTCGATTGTCACTGGCTAGAACTGGCAGGTCGCGTCAGTATGTGGCGCCTTTGAAAAACGACATAAACGTTAAAATTAGTACATCATTATGAAATAGCTATTTCCATCTAGACATGAGCTATTTCCTTCTAGGCTTCAGCTGTTCCCATCTAGACTTAAAGGAGACAAGTCTCTCACTCAATATCATTGCAAACACAACTTATTGGTCAGTCAAATTAAATCAACTTTGATTTTGTTATCCTACCGTGAAAAGATGGGCTTCTGATATCCAATATTTAAGACAAAATGATTATTTTAATATGTACCATATCGCCGCTATGCACGCAAAGTTTGCCCCATAACACGCTGCATGACATATGCCCGTCCTCTCTCTCTCTCTCTCCTTCTCTCTCTCCTTCTCTCTCTCTCTCATTGTCTTCCCATTATTATTTATGAGATTTATGCGACAGTGGACGCCATTAGCGCGTGCCATAAAGTCTTAGTCTGTAAACTGGCTGTAATTTGTTTAAAGTCAACAACGTTTACTCTTGGGAATATTTTCATCCTTGACTTGAATAAATATCAGAAGCTCTGTAGACTAGGTCATTTTGTGTTTGCTATAGTTATTTTTTTATATAAAAACCGTCTCATATGTTTGATACAATTTCTAGTCAGGTCTTCCTTCAAGTATTGGATTTATAATTGACCCGAAGAGTTATATAGAACATGTTACAGACTCGAGAACTTTTTATTATGCCAAGAATAATTTCTGCAGGCCAACATTATGTGCTGATATCGGAATGGGGTCAATCAGTAGCGGACTGGGTTTTAAGCATGCTTAACCTACTAGGTCGACCTCATTAATTGTTTTTCGGGAGAATTTTTATCCAGCCCAGTCCAACCCAGCCTACCGGGTATTAGAAATATTTCGTATGACCAGTGTGTGTGAAATTGCTTTATTTAACGTCAGCTTCCACCGAGGTGATATCGCAGACAAAGTATAGCCAGTACGTCCATGTGGTTAATAAACTAACAACAGCATACCCCCCCCCCCCCGCACACACACACCTCCCCTCCCTCGCAAAAATATAAAACCCCAAACAATCTTACCAGCCTGTAACAAACAGACTCCGGGGTGGGATGGGGTTATGGTCCGCTTCTACACTGTGTCATATAGCAGATGAGGTAAATTTATATAATATTTTACTTTGCCATGGTATATTTGATATTTTATAAACAAACAGGTCTTAAAACATATCGCAGAAGTCAAGTTCGGAAATCATTCGAGGAGGCAAAACCAACAGAGGAAAACAGAGAGAGAGAAATGGGGTTTAACGTCCACTCGACACAAACTAGGTCATTTCGGGACTAACATATGGTTCAACTTTTATTTCAATAATTCGCTTGCACGTAGGGTTCTTTAGACACACAGAGAAAAACATCCCGTTGAAAGACAGGACATGGCCTTTAAAGGAGCTAAATCTCTACTATTTGAGACCTAGAAATGGACACAAATGGGTCGCAACACATATAATAATGTAATATGAATGTATATAAACTGATTTACATTCAATCGTTTCTGTTTTTACTGTAATTTCTAATCAGTAAAGTTCGACAAAATACGCCAGAAGTCTCAACCGAATGGCAATCTTTAGTTTGGCTATTCTAGCCCACGCCAATGGTGTTTATTGCACATGCTCTCCAGATAAGAATATGGCATGACTTGTAGAACATGTCTAGCCTCGTTCTTCGAGTCCACTGTTACAAATGGCGCTGAAGCGCATTATTGTACACGATTCGTGTACCTATGGTAAATGTTTATTTTGTCTTAAATATTGGATATCAGAATCCCATCTTTTCCCGGTAAGATCACAGAATCAATGTTGATTTAAATTGAAAAATAATTCGTGTTTTCAATGTCGAAGACTTTGGATAATTTTAAGTAAGAGACTTACGGACGACAGGCGATAAATTGTTTAGAGGTTTAAGCAAAAAGCCCATTGGTTAATGAAGTCAACTACTGGATGGTTCTGTCACTTAAAAAAAAACTCTCCCCACTCCCCAACCAAACAATCACCCCCACTCCAAACAAAATCTACCCTACTATACGACACTATAGCTAATTTTGTTTGTTTATATAATATAGATATGGTTTATTTCTATTTTGCAGGAAATGATATCGTGTACAAAATGTTTATTACTTATCACCTTTGTTGGTTTGACAGTGTTAGTAAAATCTTCTGATAGTTATCCCATGCGACCCAGTCATTCACAGTTAGAAGAAAAATCTCGACAGGTAATTCATTTTGTTTACAACTATCCATTTTCTATAGAAGGCTTGATCTCTCTTAATCTGATTAAAACACAGATCCTATGTCGTTTCGTATTTTTATAGTTCAAAATTTCGCTTTACTTGTCTTTACTACACTAGGATCTGGAGGAGTTGTTATATAACCCTCGCTCTGGATGATGTGAGGGATTAGCCAATGAAACGGTCTGTTACGGCGAATTTTAGGCATGAGGTGCTCGGAACTGTGGGTAACCCACTAAAAACATCAACGTTGATTGGGTAATCAAATGTCTGACGTCATAGGGTCAAAAGCCGCTCGTATGACCTCTGACGCGACCTTCCATTACAACCGGTCAGATCTTCATGTAGTAGAGACCATCGAAGGTATTAAAAAAAAAAAAAAACGAAATATAAATCTGTGTTTTAATCAGAATGAATCTGGCTTTAAATTGGTATGCTGTAAAACTAACAGTCGTTGCGTCAGGAACGTTACAACAACCGTGTATATACGTGATATAGACCGCTACGAGACGAACTCGATACTTTTTTTCCCATAACAATCGAAGGGTGAGAAGTTTATATAAGCAATTCAAACGACGGGAGATTTAAGAGTGTTTTCGATAATTGGCAAAGTCGGTTTTTACGGAAGGTCTATTTTTACGACTTTGAGTGAAGATAACTGAATTAATTTCAACCAGATTGGCGTGAACTTGCCGTAAAGTGGATATAGTAACCATTGGCTACACGCGCCCGTCTTATGTGCACTTTAAAATGTATTAGTCTTTTGAGTGCAGTTTACTACAAACACACGTAACATGGAGCCTAATCATGTTTGTTTTTTCTTCACGATGCAGACGACGGAGTCTAATGACGAATTGCTAGAAGCGAGCCAAACTGCCGAAATATCTTCCCGACTTTTCCACAATGAAACTGAAATTCCAACAGAATATCACATTTCGGATTCTAATGAAGACATGAAATATAATAGCCGTTTTAATTATTTAGCACATTTTCTTGTATGTAATTTTAAGGTTAATATCGCAATATTCACATCTGGTGATGTCACAAGCAGTTAAAGGAGCTAAATCGCTAATTTTTGGAACCTAGAAATTGACACAAAAGGTTCGCAGCGCATATAATAATGTAATATGAATGTATATAAACTGATTTACATTCAATCGTTTCCGTTTTTACTCTAATTTCTAATCAGTTATGTTCAGCGAAATCGGCCAGAAGTCTCAATCGAATGGCAATATCTAACGTCTAGTTATTCTAGTCTACACTGATAGTATTTATTGCGCATGCTCTCAAGATAAGAATATGGCGTCACCGCTTGACACGACTTCGTGTGCCTTGTTACAAATGGCGCCGATTCGTGTACTAATGGTGAAATGTTTATTTTGTCTTAAATATTGGATATCAGAAGCCTATCTTTTCCCGGTAAAATCACAATATCAATGTTGATTTAAATTGACAAATAATTCGTGTTTTTAATGTCGAACACTTTGGATGATATTGAGTTAGAGACTTAGCTACTTTAATATCCAAATTAACGATCATGGAGAGCAAAGAGTTAATTACACCGTTGTCTGTTTATTAGAAATATCACACCTTTAGATGAAAATAAGTTTAGAAAGTTGAACAAATGACCAGGAAGTATATATTTAACTGTTTCCTTTCATTTCTGATTTTCATTAACACCTTCTTTCAGTTTTTCTCATCAACACTTCCTTTTAGTTTTTTTCATTTTCTGTTCGTTTATCTTCCATTAACAGTTCGTTTATTTTTCCATTAACAGTTCGTTTTATTCATTAACACATTATTTTTCTTGAGTTTTTTCCTTTACATTATGAATTCCTTTCAATTTTTTCTATTTGATACTGCTTTATGAATTGAATAAGAGAAAGACGTCCGACAAAAAAACGCGTCATTGAGAAATATGAAATGGCCCGTCATTGATGTCATTAACAGTTTTCTTTTAACAACAGAACTTGTGGAATTCAAATTAGCTCCCCTTTAAAATAGTGACTGAAAGGTTTCTAATAGATGGCTAAAATTGGCGATAAGAATGAAGCCATATTGTTCGTTTGGTTGTTTCAAATTATAAATGATATTTTGAGAGAAGCGGAAAACGTCAGAGATAGTTCCATATCTTAATTCATTGTTGTTTCATTGGCTCTTTGTAAATTTGGCTATTAATATTAATTCGTAAAGATACGAAACGGGCCAATCTAATTAATCACAGACAGCGAAATAGCGTTTAACGTCCAATCAGATTTTTACATGGCTGCAACCAACAAAGAAATATTTATTGGGAATTTAAACAAAAATTGCCCACTTAGACCATCATTTAGGGAGGTACACGTAGGCGTGTACGTAAAATATAAAGAAATGAAAAATGAAATGAAATGGGGTTTAACGTCCTACTGTTCTGCTCCGAACTGGGTTAATGAAGACGGGCATACGCCATACAGTGTGCTATGAGGGAAATTTTGCCCGAGCAGCGGCACTATGGCCTACCTTTATATCGAATTCCAACTTCCAAGAGATCTTTTACGTGCACGTCAATGCATACACGGGACCTCGATTTTTCGCCCCATCCGAACGACTAGACAGCTGTCCTTGTCAGGACCTCACGTCCCTCACTACTGTAAAGGGGAAACCACGTAGGAAAATCTCGATGAACTTTCTCGGCCAATGCAGGGAAAAAATTATAAAGAACCCGTATGCACGTTGTCATTAGCCTCGTTGGTGCAGAAAAGTAGGATGTTCAATCTTATTTCATTTCATTTCACATCTTTAATGTATAGCCCTAGTCGGCTCAATTATTTCTATATATCGTTTCGTTTCAAATCAGATACTTTAGTTAAGTCAACCTAACTATCAGAACGAAACCCGTCTGGCGATAATCCGGAGCTGGGCCCTTATTCACGAAAACTTAAACTAAGATACAATCGAAATTTTAAGAAATACTGCAATTCGATTGGCTGACCAGTAAAACAATTTGCATATATCCAATGAAGTTGCAGTATTTCTTAAAATTTCGGTTGTAACTTATTTTAAGTTTTCGTGAATAAGGGCCCTGAAGGTGTGATGCCTGGTTAGTGCTAAATGATAAGGTACCGAGATGTAAACAGTGCTAGTGCTAATCCCAACCCTAACCCTAACCCTAACCCTGGACCTAGACCCAATGCTTAACCTAACCCTAACCTACAATCTCGGCAACAATCAGGTGTCGTAACCTAATTTACATCACAGCGACCTTGTCAAAAATTGAGATGGCCTTAATAAATAGATTTAGTCTTGGACTCCTCAGTATAAGTGAGATTTAGGTGATTGGATGACCGCCGTTGTAGTAGCATATAATATTAATGTGATGTGAGCTGTCACTCAAGAAGCTTGTTGTTGTTCGTATGGGTTTAATGTCCGCTTTCATCGAGGATGATATCGTAAATAAGTCTTCATTTTATTATGTTCAGCGCGTAGGGGTTTTACGTAAGGGAAGGACTCGTGACCGAAAAGGCGCCGCATAGGATCACACCATCGAAACCAAGAACACAAGCCAGTGGTGACCGGCCGACTAGAGTTCCAAGCAAGACCCTAAACCAGGCACTAGGCCATTCCCCTGCCCCACCCAGAATGTATAAAATGTATAGGGTATAGGTTCCCTCAATGGTTCGAACCGGGGCCAGTTTCGGCTGGACTAACAGAGACTAAACAATATGGCCGATCGATTTTTCTTCATATCAAGGGAGGCTACTATTTTTGCTTTTATGATTTGATATAAGATCAATGATTGCATGAGCTCCTATATTCTAGATCATGGACTCTGGATGGATATCCCAATTTTATTTCGTCAATAACCAACTATAATACAAACCTTGTACGCGTAACACCCTTTGACGCACATTTAACAAATATCTGGCTCTGGTTTCATAAAACATTCTCAGACTTCAGTTAAGAATTTACTTAAAATTATTCGCATTATTTCAACTAACATGGTTCCGAGTTAACAAAGCATTCTCAGACTTAAGTTAAGAATTTAGTCAAAATTGTTCGCCTTATTGTAACTAAAATATGGCCACTTATAAATTTTTTGTTGTTTTAATGTATCAAATACATTAATAAGAAACTATGTGCAAAGTTTTGTGTTTCTGGATCAAAGATATTTCTCATAAACAGTGATTGAAAGTAAATTCGGAACTTCAGTCTGAGAATGCTTTGTGAAACCGGCACCTGGATTGTTTAAAAGTAGAGAAACGTTGTATGTAGAAATTTTTCATTCAAACTAATCAAATAAAATTTGATATGACCAAATCATATGTCTCTAAAATTGGCGCATGCGCTCCATAAACCTGTTCCGTGTCATATTTTGCTGATATATACTAATCCGAATGTTAAAGTTGGCTTCAATAACAGCTTAGAAAATATTTCAAATTTAACTATTTTGGAGACGGTTACATGTATGCCAATTAAAGAGCTGACAGTTCTTGCTATATTAGTTACAAAATAGTTAAAGGACAATATTGGTGTCAGTCATTATCACATGTGATAGAACTGGTTAAACATGTCCCAGATATAATTTTAACACAAAGATCATTGCTATGAAAAATAGAAATAGGCCGTACATTAACTTATTTTTATTCATTCTTCATTCTATACTTATCTAGTGACAGCCAATTATTATTTTGAATTGTCAGATATTCTGCCATGGTCTCATATAACAACTCTTGGTTTTCGAAGGAATTATTGGTGAGCAGAAATTCGCCTGTTATCACTCGTCACTTCAGTCAGTTATATAGAAGGACGACTCGTGTTTTCCTTTTGCGTTCGTCACTTCCCTTTCTTGAAAGCTTCATAACGCATCTATCGTAGCAATGATCACTGTGTTAACATTATATTTGGAAAGTCTTTAACCAGTTCTATCACATATATGATAATGACTGACACCAATATTGTCTTTTAATGAAAAGGGAATATATTGACAATTTCAGTCAAATACCTTCATTCTGAACGAAGTTATGACCGTTTGGAGAAACAAAGTCTCGATTATCCATTTTTAAATTAAATTGTTACATGTTGATCGTTTTTTAAATCCGTTGAAAATTACAACCATTCAATAATCTAGAGAGCTAATTATGGCTTTGGCATGTGAATAAATTTTTAATTTAGATGCTGTTAGCGTATGTTTCGTTGCCTGGCAACCCCTCTTTAAAATATTATCTGAATTTAGTTTTAATGATTTTAGAGTTTGTAGACATGAAATGTAATGATGATTAGCATGAACCTGACGCGGGGTTGGATGGCCGAATGGTTAGCGTGTGCGCATTGTATCATAAGGTCTGTCATTGAGTCAACTAGCGTGGTTTCGATTTTCCGGTTGTACGTGGTAAGAAGTAGGGTCGCCTGTTCAACCTCGTGGGTTTTCTCCAGGTCCACCGGTTTCCCCCCACTGCTAAAGACCCCTACACGCCAGCGAATTATTGAAATAGAATTGAACCATATGTTAATCTCGAAATGACTCACCCACCCTCTCTCTCTATCTCACACACACACTCACAAACCGGACTAATTAATTTTAGAAATAGCATGGACATCTAGGTGTCTTTATTTCTTCAGTTCGACCTGTATTATTATCAAGATATGGGATACATTTATCATTATAAATGTGTCATTAAGAATTTTTTTTTCGACTAAAATATATTTTCCTTTTCAGAAAATGAATTGAATTTATCTTAAAATCCATTTATAACATGTATTTTTTTATGTTTTGTTTTTTAAAGGATCGAATAACATTTATATGATATGCCATTAAAATAAACGAATCTTTTTCTTCTCAGGAAATAATAACTTTAGCAGCGAGAATTATTAAAGTGGCTATGTATGGTAACCAATGGGACATAATGAAACGTAATGCTGGAACGGTGGACTCCTTGCTCAATCTACCCGACTTAAGTGCTGGGCGTCGATAATTTCTTTAATACAGGTGAGATGATGGTTTTTGTGATGAAAAACCCACCCTTATCTGCCTCCGTTTAAACTGAAATCAGACGTGAAGTATCGCTAGTGATAGTAGGAGCTCGTTCATTTACCCGATTTAAATGTTGGGCGTCGATAAGTTCTTTAATACACATGAGATGAAGGTCTCTGTTATATTAGTTCAGAATGTAAAGCAAAGTCCAACCCTGTCGCTCTGCCCCCTCAACCTGCGAGAGAGAGAGAGAGAGAGAGAGAGAGAGAGAGAGAGGGGGGGGGGGGTCCTCCCACACCTAAAGATCCCTACACCCAAACCCCATTCACTCTCTATCTTCAGTAGAGAATATCCGGAAATGGCATTTGGTAATCGAGGAAAGGATGTGCATGGCAGTCTAATTTGTCGATGGTTAATTTTCCGAAATGCCGTCATTGAATTTTGTATCTGGTTACCCATTTACGATCGTTTGTTCTACTTGTTGCTTTTCCAATCTACTTTCCCTTTTTAGTGGTACAGGACGGAGGGCATGGCATGGAACGGCGTCTAGTCGTTCGGATTGAACGAAAAATCTTGGATCCCGTGAAGGCTACACACGACAAATATCCTTTGGTAGTTGGAATTCCATGAAAGTCCATGCCGTATGCCCATCGTAATTATCGCGGTTGGTGACAAGTAGGACGTAAAACCCCATTTCATTTTATTTCATTTTATATTACAGCTGACCAACCAGACGAGCCACTACACCAACTGGGGGATCAGCTTATTAAAGATGTGTTTGTAATGTAAAAGAACGTAGCAGATAATAAAATATTTACTAATTCCTATAGTGTTTACTTAATCTTGTATTAACTATAAAAGCGAACGGATCACCTGTTGTTTCATTTGGAGGGTCGGGTGGGCTTTAGATCATAAGGTCATAAAGCGGCTTGGTTTCGATCTCACATTTGTGTGTGACAATGAATATGTTTCGTCGTTGATTTTCTCCAAGTCCTTCAGCTTTCCCCTTCTGCTAAAGACCCCTACGAACAAGCGAATTATTGAAATAATATTGTACCATTTGTAAGTTCCAAAATGACCTTAGTTCCGAGTGGACTTTATCGCATCTCTGTCTGTGTGTGTGCCTCTCTATCTCTCTATTTCTTTATCTCTCTATTTCCCCATCTATCTATCTCTCTATTTCTTCATCTCTCCATTTCTCTATCTAAATATTTCTCTATCTCTCTATATCTTCATCTCTCTGTTTCTCTATATCTATATCTCTCTATTTCCCTATCTCTTTATCTCTCTTTTTTTCTCTATCTACCTATTTCTCTATTTCAATTTCTGACTATCTCTCTCGTTTCATTTCCGAATACAAGGTAGATATTGATGACAGCTAGTAGAATCAACACCAGCAATTGTCAATTTGAAAAGGTAGAAACTCTATTATTGATCTTTCGGACGCCATTTTAAAGATCAGACTTAGGTTAAGAATTTACTCAAAATTGATGGCCTTATTGTATCTAAAATATTGCCTCTAATAATTTTGTTGTTGTTTTAATGTATCAAATACATCAATACGAAACTATTGCAGATTTTTGTGTTTCTGGATCAAAGATATTACTCATAAACAGAGACTGAAAGTTAAGTAAATTCTGAACTTAAGTCTGAGAATGCTTTGTGAACTCGGGGGCCTGGTAGTACTGATGACGTCACTAACGTATTGAATAATTAATTGTAGAACTTGAACGAAGCGCCTCGAAATTCTCGAAACAGTGATGCCAATAGTTGTCATGGTTTCCTGTCTTTTGTTAGCTGCAGACGGATCTTTGTTTCTGATTTGTTAATTTCTGAAAAGTTATTAAACCATGACATTAAGGCCAGGGGCCTGTTTCACGAAATTTTAACTAAGATAAAATCCAAATTTTAGTAATCTGATTGGGTAAAATTACATCGATTTTAGTGCTTAGCCAATCAAAATTGAAGTATCTACTAAAATTTGGAATTTATCTTTAGTTAAAATTTCGTGAAACAGGACCCTGAACAACTAGCAACATTACAAAGGGTGTGCGAGGGGGTCATTAATGGGTGTGTGTGTCTCGTCGATAATATGGAACTATACTACTTATTGGATATGGCAAAATGGTGACGGAAACATCTCCAACACAACCTGGACGCTTGATGCCAGATGTCCCTAAGAATGTGACACGCCCATTCGTCGGAAAGTTTTTTTCAGTTTACTGTTCTATGAAAACCAATCGTCTCTATTCATTGTGGCTCCCTTTTCGGCTTGACATACAATTAGTAACAAATCTCTACAGGATTACGGGGGGGTTGGATGGTCGCTGCGCTTCATCGTGAGGTCTGTCATTGAGTCAACTGGTGTGAGCATGTTCAAAACAAACGCCAAAGTTCTGCGATCTGCCCCGGAAAGATGTAAAAACGCGATTTTTTGGGGACATTTTCGCACACTCTTTTCACGTTTGCCGGCGATCTTGTGCATTTTCTGGTCGCCGTAGGTCGATACAGCGCAGTAAGGACGCCACCCCTGTCTGACGGGGGTATTACATGTAATGCTAAGTTCCTACTATTATGATTCGTGCTACGATCGTGGAGTAATCGTGGTGATCCTATCACGTCTTACCACATATTGAAGTTAGTCGTAACAATCGTGTTGATAGTATCAAAACATATCCAAACGTATCTGCACGTACCAGATCGTAACGTATCGCACGTACCAGATCGTGGAGTCAACAGGGACAATCCTATTGTAATGTATCGCTCGCACGGTAGTGGTAACCTGGCATTAGAGAAGATGTTTCTATTGCCCATATTACTATTTGGTAGAAACTAATTGGTACATTATGAAGTCGCCACGGGTATTCCTCCAATTATTGTGTATCTTTCTTTCTGAATAATCTGCTTGTCTGTACAAGACAGCATGGACGTGACATGAATAAACAAAGACTCTCTATAAAACTCGAATACTCTCTGCTTTCAATGTCCTTGCAGACTACGGAATACTCGTTCGAGCGATGTCCCGGTGATAGAAATGTTGTTACAATTCAAAACTGAATTGAGGACATGGTTAAATTAGATCTCCGCGACAACACCCGGGTATCTTGATCCTATAAATACAAAAGCGAAAAGGTGCCCGAATTTCAGAAAGATACCCAAGGAATTGCCCGCGTCACTGTCATTATATTCTACACCCCCCCCCCTCCGCCCCTGATGGCAAAGGTGTGTCCCCTCTCTTCTTTTTGTCCTTCACTTCTCCCAACAGAGAGAGAGAGAGAGAGATAGAGCGGGAGGGAGAGAGAGAGAGAGAGAGAGAGAGAGAGAGACTTTAACGTCCACTCGACACAATCTAGATCGTTTCGGGACTAACATATGGTTCTGTTTTATTTCAATAATAGGGGTCTTTGGCACAGACCGGACCCGGAGAAAACCCACGAGGTTTTACAGGCGACGTCAGCTTGTTCCAACCAGATCCAGCGATACTAAAAACCAATCGCGCTCAATCAATGTATGTACATTCACCATCAAATGTGCCCTCTCCTTCTGCTGTACGTTCCATTATTCCAACCATATCCAGCGATACCAATAAAACAGTCGCCTGTTTAACCTCGTGGGTTTTCTCCGGGTCCTCCGGTTTCCTCCCACTGCTAAAGACCCCTACGCGCAGGGGAATTATTGAAATAAAATTAAACCATATGTTAGTCCCGAAATGACCTAGTGTGTGTCGAGTGGACGTTATGTTAAACCCCACTCTCTCTCTCTCTCTCTCTCTCTCTCTCCAATAAAACAATGTCACTCAAATCAAGTATCAAAGTATGGTATATGCCATGGTATACCAATAATCTATCAAATGGCTCTTGCAACTGTTTATCTGCGATATCACACTCGGTGGAAGAGGACACTAAGCCCCGTTGACACCTTAATCTAAATCTAAACTTATACCCTAATCAAAGAGGTCTAATTATTTAAACTCCTTTCGTCAATTCTAGACGCCCCCCCCCCAAAAAAAAAAACCCACTCCCGCCCCTCGTTCAATAGACCGTCTATTGAAATGTAGAATATAATCCTGTAAATAGACAGGCAAACCCTAGGTGTAGTTTTCGAAATGAACTCAAAAGGGGTTTAACGTCCTAGCGTTCGGCTCCGTCTGGGCTAATGAAGACGGGCATACGCCACGCAGTGTGCCATAATGGAAATTTTAGGGAAGTTTTGCCCAGACAGTGGGGCTGCGGCCTAGTTCATTCACAGTAGGTGTCTTTCCCATTGGCGTGTACGTAAAAGAACCTTTGACAGTTGGAATTCGAAATACGAGTAGGCAGGCCGTACCGCCACTTCCCGAGTTAAAAGTTCCCCCATAGCTCCCTGCATGACGTACGCCCGTCTTAATTACCCCAGCCAGTGCAGAAAAGCAAACTCCATTTCATTCCATTTATTTCCAATAATTATAGTCTAAAAACGACCCAAATGATAATTGTGATTTGACGAGATGGCGACCATTATGTCACTTTGATATGAATAAAACGAATGATGGTTGTCTCGTGTTATTACACGAACATCCGGGTCTCTAGATTCAGCAGGAGGCGTGTTCACGAATTTGAGCCACTGGGGGTCCAAGGCGGAGACAGCGCCGAGTTTGGCGCGAGGTCTGAGGGCTTACCCGAGAATCTGACAACATCAGAAGCTCGTAAGACAACATTTCTGCTCCTACGTACTCTATCTTCTATATAAATACAATCAAGATGTCTGTGTGTCTGTGCACGTGTGTTCGCCCTTCACGCTTGGTCGCCACGCCCCACTCCCACATATCTGGTATCAAATTAACCAACATGACCCTTTGAATGTTTATGGCCATCAAATTTAGGTCTCCGGGCGAATTGGGCCCGGCGCGCCTGTTCTTGTGCGAATAATACACCCCCGGTAGGCTACATTTTTTGTTATTCTACTATTGGTAATCACGAAATTGCCGAACCGTAATAACCATAATTAAACTGTAGTTTCAGTTCAAAATCATTATCGACAGCCATTTATTAATAGACCAAACGGACAATGTACTGAATTAACCATCGGGAAACTATGGCCATCGTTCGGTTACCGTTACAATTATCGGTAGCTATTTAATAATAGATCCACCTCCATATTGAATATCTGACATTAAAGCTCAGTATTAATATAGCTAGAAAACATGATCCAAGGCAGACATTCGATATATTACAGACATCAATAGTACACTATTTTGTAATGTCGTTCTAATCTGTTGTACATCTTTCAAACACAAAAATAAACAGAAAAAAAAAAACAAAAAAACATTTTCCATTTTATTAAATGGAAGTAGACAAAATACTTCTCAAAATTCTAGAAAACTGAAAAAAACAACATTTTCAATTTTATTAAATGGAAGCAGACAAAATACATCTCAAAATTCTCGAAAAATTTAGGAATTAAAATGTCGGTGTATTAGCTTTATGTCTGTTCTCTGACGGAGCTCATTATCATTGGGGCAGTCACGGTGGCTAAGTGGGTAAGACGCTGGCTCGCTAGCCTGGAGGTCGCGTGTTCAATCCCTGCATTGGCCGAGAAAGTTCGTTGGGACGGAGGACATGACAAGGACAGCTGTCTAGTCGAACGCCCGACATCCAGGCTAGAGAGCCAGCGTCTTACCGAGCCAGCGTCTTACCCACTTAGCCACCATGATCCCCGGGACGAAAAACTGTGTTCCCGTCTACACATTGGCCTGCACGTAAAAGATCCTTTGGCAGTTGGAATTCGATATAAGAGTACGCGACAGTGCCGCTGCCCAGGTAAAATCCCCCCCATAGCACATTGTATGGCGTATGCCCATCTTCATTAGCCCAGTCGGACGTTAAACCGCATCTCATTTCATTTTCATAGTCATTGCCGTATGTTGCAATTATAGTTGACAAACTACAACCACATCCCAAAAATAAAAAATCTGTGGTCGGACCTGCTTTCACAACAAAATACCGTATTATCTCCCTTTAAATAAAAACAACATAGTAATCGTGAACAATGCGATCGTTTTATAATTCGTGTGAACTAGATAATTATAAAATGAAATGAAATGGGTTTAACGTCCTACTGTTTTGCACCGAAGACAAGGTTAATTATAAAGTTTATATTTAATACTTGGTGTTGGGTGATAGTAAATCTCGTTTGATAGATTCGCTTTAAAGATACATTTTGGCGAATAAGATAAAGAGCTGGCAGTTCTCACTATAATAGTTAAAGACTAGATAATGTAATGGGAATTTGCTGAACATTTTAGTCAAATTGATCCACTCTGAACCGAGATTTTAGCGATTGAATTTTCGGCCTAGGCTCCATTACTAAAGTCGGTACGATAAAAAACATAGTCTCGGTTATCCCTTTTCTGATTAAATCATAAATGAAAGTTGAGCAGCAAATCTGATCGTAATCCAGTAAATATCGCAGGCTAACGTTGATTATGGTCTGGATAAGTTAATTAATGTCTAATTAATAATTTAGATTACATTTAAGGCCTAAAGAAGGACCTGCAATAGGCAGATTTAATTCTTGTATAATGTATCTTTAATCTTACAATTCTGAATTGAAACAAGAAACATCAAATCACGACAATAACACGCGAGAATAACACTGATCAATTCTGCCAAACACAAAAAATTGAAATCGACAAAATGGGAATTTTAAACATCACGATTTTATTTATGGTGCAGATATGGGGTGAAATTAAATGAAATGAAATGGGGTTTAACGTCCTACTGTTCTGCTCCTAAACTGGGCTAATGAAGACGGGCATACGCCATATAGTGTGCTATGAGGGGGAAATTTTGCCCGGGCAGTCGCGCTACGGCCTACTCATATATCGAATTCCAACTTCCAAGGGATTTTTTTACGTGCACGCCAATATGTACACGGGACCTCGGTTTTTCGGACCACCCGAACGACTAGACAGCTGTCTTTGTCAGGCCCCCCGTCCTGCATCACTGACAAGGGGAAACCACGCCGGAAAATCTGGATGAACTCTCTCGGCCAATGCACGGATCGAACACCCGACCTCCAGGCTAGCGAGCCAGCGTCTTACCCACTAAGTCACGTGTGCTATGAAAGACATTTTACCCTGACAACGACGCTACGACTTAATCTTATTTCGAATTCCAACTGTAAATTTGGTCCACGATTTTTTTTATCTTTGAAATATTTTTAAATATAAAAAGGAGAGGTTTGTTTTGTTTGCGGGTTTGCTATAGGTATATCAGCGGGTGAACTCATTAATTTTAAAATAACTTTGTAATAACTAGTTATTACAAGGACATTAATGGTGCTAATTACTGGTATTATTTGGCGCATATTATACAAATTAATTAACAAATCACGACTATTGCGTTGTTATGGAAACATTGTAGTACACCATACTTTTTTAGACTGTTCAATTATTTCCAGGAAACTGTTCATCTGACATGAAATGGGGTTTAACGTCCTACTGTTCTGCTCCGAACTGGGCTAAGGAAGACGGGCATACGCCATACAGTATGATATGAGGCACGACGGCCTACTCTTATTCCGAGAGCCGCGGTGACTCAGTGAGTAAGACACTGGCTCGCTAACCACGAGGTCTCGGTATTGGCCGAGAATGTTGCTCTGGATTTTCCGGGGAGACTTCACAAGGCCAATGTCTAGTCGTTCGGAGCGGACAAGCGGAGAATCGAACCCACACCACTTGACCCAATGACAGATATTCTGATCCAACGCGCACGCGTTAACCACCTAATCACCCAACCCCGCTTGTTTGTATAAAGGAAACATTGTACGGTTTATGGGACTTAGAAGTTAGATATACGAGATACCAGGCACGGGTCCGGAGAGGGAAGGGGGCATAGGGATTGTCCACACTTTATCCACCAGCTCGAGCTTCGGATCTGATCAAATTCTCGGGTAGTTCCCAACACCTCACGGCGGGTTGGATGGCCAAATGGTTAGCACGTGCGCGCTGTATCATAAGGTCTGTCATTGAGTCAACTGGCGGGGTTTCGAATCCCCGGTTGTACATAACAAAGATTAGGGTCGCCTGTCCAGCCTCGTGGGTTTTCTCCGCGTCCTACGGTTTACTCCCACTGCTAAAGACCTCTACGCGCAAGCGAATTCTTAAAATAAAATTGAACCATATGTTAGTCCCGAAATGACCTAGTTTGTGTCGAGTGGACGTTAACCCCCCTCTCTCTCTCTCTTCTCTCTCTCTTCTCTCTCTCACACTTCACGCTAACCTTGATTTTATCTCTGGCTCAGTGAGAGCTGCGGTGGCTCAGTGAGTGAGACGCTTGTTCACTAACTAAAAAATCCGGGGTTCAATCCCGATGTTTATCATCGAGAAAGTTCTCCGAAATTTTGCAGTCGGTGCAGGGGTGAGGCCCTGTCTGGGCGTTCGGATGGGACTAAAAAATCGAGGTCAAGTGTACACGTTGGTGTTCACGTAAAAGAACCCATAAGCAATTTCTTCATATCACACTAACTTTTAGGACATTGCGTAATGTGAAAACTCCGGTAGTGAATTACTGAAATAAAATTGAACCATATGTTAGTCCCGAAATGGCCTTGTTTGTGTCGAGTGGACGTTAAACCCCATTTCTGTCTCTCATTAAATTCGAATAAGCTGTTTCTAAATATTCGTCACGGATACATTTGATGAAATATTTCACTATACATCCCAGTCTGATTAAAATACAGATCTATATTTCGTTTCGTTTTTTTTAATACTTTCGATGGCCTCTACTACACGAAGATCTGACTAGTTGTAGTGGAAGGTCGCGTCAGGGGTCATGCGAACGGCTTTTAACCCTATGACGTCAGGCATTGACTATAATCAATCAGTTATGGCGTTTCTAGTGGTTTACCCACTGTTCCGTGCACATAGCACGCCAATAACTCGCCGTAACAGACCGTTTCATTGGTTAATTCCCCACATCAAGCAGAACGCCTGTTTTATAACAACTCTTCCAGATCCTAGAGTTGTGAAGACAAGTAAACCAAATTTTGAACTATAAAAATAGAAACAAAGTAGTATCCGTGTTTTAACCAGATTGTAGAAATCCATGGAAAAGATCAAATCGTGCTACACCAGATTAAATCTAAATATTATCTTATATTGTGAATTAAAGGAGCTAAATTGCTAATATTTGGGAACTAGAAATTGACACAAATGGGTCCCACCGCATATAATAATGTAATATGAATGTATATAAACTGATTTACATTCAATCGTTTCTGTTTTTACTGTAAATTCTAATTAATTATGTTCGGCGAAATACGTCAAAAGTCTCAGTCGAATGGCGATCTCTAGTGTCTGGTAATTGCGCATGTCTCCAAATAAAATATGGCGCCACCGTTTGATATGACTTGTGGAATATGTTTAATCATGTCCTTCGAGTCCTTTGTTATAAATGGCACTGGAACTCATTAAGGTAGACGATTCGTGTACCAATGGTAAACTATTTATTTTGTCTTAAATATTGGATATCAGAAGGGCATCTTTTCCCGGTAAGATCACAAAAACAATGTTGATTTAAACTGACAAATAATTAGTGTTTTCAATGTCGAAGACTTTGGATGATATTGAGTCAGAGACTAATAGCTACTTTAAATATTTTTTATTGCAAATATTTACAGTCAGATTATAAATGTCATAAATATTCAGTGTTTTTTTGGTACAAAGGGGTGTGGATTCTGTTTGTACCGTAGACATGCTAGAACTTTAAAGTTACAATTTCATATTTTCTAAGAAAGTCAAAATATAATTATTTCTATGTCTTTTGCTCAATAGGTTGTCAACTCACTATTATAAGATCGTAGGTATCATTCTCACACTTAAAACTCATTTACCTCCCTTGTTTGCTATTCTCCACCATGGAGTAGCTATCTTCAAACGTTTGAATTGGAAGTTGAGAATGATATTTTTGCCAATTTCTCAACTGGCAATAGTGAATTATAGGATTAATAGGATTATTCTTTAACAAGGAAGGACTGTTTATAGATACCATCTATTTTCGGACTTTATTTTAATACATTTTAAAAATATAACATAAAAATATGAAATTGTAACTTTGAAAAGGTCTACTGTAGTGCTTGGCAGCTTGAGTCTTGGCGCAAGTGAAGAAGAGATCTTACGACGTACACTGTGAGACACACCGAGCATATATATATATATATATATTTACAAAGCCACTAATATCGAAGACAGATACAGTAAAATATAATTAATAACAGGGCACGATTCTAGTTCTTTAGAGTTCATCCTCTTATCAGAGAATTCTTAAACGACGTTTTGCGCAATAATTGTTGTAAACGGTTAATATCCATGTTGTGGACGGATGAAAAGCAGGGTCGACACTGGCACTGACGAGCAAATTTCACTGGTGTTCGGATCTGGATGCCATTAACACATTCAAGAACAGCTAACCGTAATCCCACTCTTATTGGTTCACAACAACTGAAATAAATAATACAATTCTATTATTATGACGTCAGTATTTATTAGAAGACTTTAATAAAATCGGCCTCGGGTCACAGTTGGGTGACAAGGAGTAGGGTCGCTTGTCCAACCCGGTGGGTTTTCTCTGGGACCGCCTGTGTTCACCCACTGTTAACAAAACCTATACGCAAGAGAATTATTGGGTTATGTCGAGTAGACGTTAAACCTCATTTCTCTCTCTATCCCTCGCCTGTCCAACCCTATGGTTTTTCTCCGGGACCTCCGCCCCCCTCCCTCCCCCGCTGTTAACGAAACCTATGCGCAAGAGAATTATTGAAAATAATTGAACCATATTTTTGTCCCGAAATGACTTGGTTTGTGTCGAGTGGACGTTAAACCTCATCTCTCTCTCTCTCTCTCTCTCTCTCTCTCTCTCCCTCGCCTGTCAAACCCGATGAGTTTTCTCCGGGACCTCCGGTGTTCTCCCACTGTTAACGAAACCAATGCGCCAGCGAATTAATGAAATAAAATTGAACCATATATTAGTCCCGAAATGACCTGGTTTGTGTCGAGTGGACGTTATCTCCCTCTCCCCCCCCCTCTCTCTCTCTCTCTCTCTCCACTAAATATAAGCGCAATTTCACCATTTCAAAATGTCCAACTTACTTGCAAGATCGCATGAGTTTTGTTGTGTTGTTTCTGTCTAATTTGCTGTAGGAGTGACAGGTTCCTCTACATCCGTAGGTAACTATTCGAGAAGGGGAACATTTATCCTGGAACATCCGCGGCGGATGGATGGTCAATCGAACTACCTGCACCTGACATCGTTCTCGCTTTGTTAAACCAGATCGTAGATCAAACACAAAGCATGATACTGATATAGTGAGGAAGCCCAGTACTATCAAACCATCTGAAAATAAACATATACAAAAAAAGGTTATTTAAAGCGAGAATTTCAAATTTTCTAAGAAAGTCAAAACATAATTATTTCTATGTCTTTTGCTCAATAGGTTATCAAATCACTATTATACGATCATGGGCATTATTTCCCACCCTTAAAAATCTATGACACAGGAAATAACAACACAATTACCTCCCCTGTTTTGCTATTGACAACATGGGGCAGCCATTTTCTAACGTTGGAATTTGAAGTTAAAAATGATATTTTTGCCAATTTCTCAGCTGGCAATAGCAAATTATAGGATTAATAGGATTATTCTTTAACAAGGTAGGACTGTTTATGGATACCATCTATTTTAAGGCTTTATTTTAATACATTTTAAAAATATAACTTGAAAATTTGCAATTGCAACTTTAAAAACTCTTTTGATTAAACATACATTATGCACAAGCTAAATCTGCCTATTCTTATCCAGACCATAATCAACTCTCGATGGCATGGCTAGCCTGCGATCTTTAGTGGATTATGATCCGATTTACTGCATAACTTTCCTTCACGATTAAATCATGAAATGGATAATCGAGACTATGCTTTTTAACTTACCGACTTTAATAATTATGATCGAGGCTAGGGTGAATTATCAATCGTCTAATTCTCGATTCATAGTGGATCAATTTGACTGAAATGTTCAGCAAATTGCCTTTACATTATCTAGTTATTAAATATTATAGTGAAAACTGCCAACGCTTATCTAATCTCCCATAATGTATCTTTAAGTCAAACAAGCCAACAGCGACGTCCCCCACCGCAACCCCAGGATAAATAGATGACACATATCAAACATGCATTATGCAAGAGGTAAATCTGCCTAGTGTATGTCTTTCTTTGTCTAAACTTCATTAATGTACATTTAATTAATTACACATTTATCTGTTTAAAAATATCGAGCAATCAAACTGATTATTTATACCTAACCTAAGCAGAAAATGTTCACAATCCAACTTAGTCAAGGTTTTGAAAGCAGACAGACAGACAGACAGACAGGCATACCCATTTAAATAGTCCCCTTCTGTCTTCGTAAGGCGGGGGACAATTATAAAAATGATCTGTACTGGGAGCTAATTATTTTCAGGATTCAATCATTTCATAGACTGAAAATTAAAGTCCAAGAACAAAATTGGGCGAATAAGGCCCCTGATGTGTATTTGTGAAAGAGAGAGAAATGGGGTTTAATATCCACTCGACACAAACTGGGTCATTTCGAAACTACCATCTGGTTCAATTTATTTCAATAATTCGCTTCCGCGTAGGAGTCTTTAGCAGTTGGAGGAAACCAGAGGACCCGGAGAAAACCCACGATGTTGGACAGACGACCATACTCCTTGCCACGTACAACCGGGGAATCGAAACCACGCCAGTTGACTCAATGACAGACCTTATGATACAACGCGCAAGGGCTAACCATTCGGTCATCCCCCCCAGTTTTACCAATTAACACTAAATATTACTACAAGACAATGACCCCTTCCTCTCTATGGGTAGAAGTTGTTAATTGAGAAAAACTCGCACATCCTGTAAATGTTTTTTTGTTAATGTGTTAATAATTAATTATCCTTTGTTAATGGGGAGCCATGATGGTTCAGTGACCTGTAAGATGTTGACTCACTACCCTAGAGGTCCCGTGTTCGATCGTTGTGTTGACCGAGAAAATTCATCGGGATTTCCGCATTGTCACTAGTGCAGGACAAAGGGCCTGGCAAGGGACAAGATATAATCGTGTGGGTGGGTAAGGAAAAACAGAGGTCCCGTGTACACATTAGCGTTCACGTAAAAGATCCACTATCAGAGCAAAATCCCCCCCCCCCTACACACACACAGCACACTGTATGTTCGTCTTCATTAGCCCATGCGGTGCAGAACAGTAGGAAGTCAGATCTCATTTCATTTCATTTATACGCTGTTAACCGATTTAAGACAACAGCCGTGTGTTCGATCGGACGACAGTGGACATAAAGGGTAAATGCACTTAAGTTCTGAAAAATAAGATCATTCATCTCCCTTGCGGCACTTAAGTGATATTACCTTATATTTATATTGTTCGAATACGGATTTTTGAATTAGTTCGGGAAGCAATTGACTAGGTACTAGACGTTCAGTAAAGAGACCATTGACCGACCTTATTGAAACCCACGAAATACGAATCCTGCTTCCGGAAAATAGTCTGTTTATAGCTCGACAGACTATAGCATATCCTAACAACTCACAAAGTTTATCGACCTCATATTACATGATCAAAACAAGTAACGACATAATATACTGGTATAACAGAATAGATTTTGGGAAGGGTGTGTGTGTGTGTGGGGGGGGGGCATGCGACTGGGAAGAGCGCATTTCCATTCCCAATTTTATACATTGTCAGCTACTTAATGTCGAGTATAATGCTGCAAATAGAATGGAAGTGAGGCAGTGGCAACATTCATCATTTGACTAGAAACTACGAGTATTACATTATCGGAAACAAGAAGTGTTGTGGACCCCCCCCTCCCCTTTCCTTTAAACATTTGGCTGGTTACATGTGTCTAATCTGTTCTATACTCGGTGCTAGATTTATATTTGGAATCTTTCTTACTCATGATATTTTGTTGGTCATTCTAGTAATCTAGATCAGAAAGCACATCTATGTACTCTAGCAACCCCATCAAAAGACGATTTTTACTTGGAAATGACAATTAAATTATTTGAAGATTAATTTGGTTTCAAAAATATCTTCACTGTTAATACCTCAAATATTTTTTTTACTCTGATTGATTATTATTCAGTCTTTATATGAAGCTGTAGTTTGATCGTATTTGAATAAAATTATGCATCCAAAAACCAATTTATGTCTGGGGCCTTAGATTACCCCTTGTTACCGACAATGTTTTTCGTGCGACGTGTCCGCACAAGGGTTAGCAAGGGGGTGGAGGACCAGGCGAAAACCCAAGTGGTTGGGCAGGTGATCCTACTCCTTGTCAAGTACAAGCCACTTGAATGAATGATACACTTTAGACCATTCGACCACCCACCATTCTAGCTCTGTTTACTTTATGTAATCTTAGCGTAGGTTTTGGTTGATTTGGATGACAAAGCATACATATCTAATTGATTTACAATAACTAATGCAATCCAGCCAGGCGCGTGCAAAAACATTTTCGTAATACAATATTTCAGTTAGATAATTCCACGTGCCATTCAGCTATAAACAGATTATACAAAGCCCAGCGTAAAACGAAGTGGGGGAATGGGCCAGACTAGAATCGCTGGGTTCCTACCGCTACCAACAGATTAATTTATGTCCTTTCGTAGCTGCTCATAATTAGTATACAAGCGATCGCGATCGCCTACGTCGCGAGTTTAGACCAATCACTCATGCCCCCGTCAGGCCGGGGTAGCGTCCTTACTGCACATGGTCGCCGGCAAACGTGAACACAACGCGCGAAATTGTTCCAAAAAATTACAAACTTGCAAAAAAGTCGTATTCTCATAGCTTTCCAGTTCAGATCGCAGAGCCTTGGCGCTTGTTTTGAAGATGCTCAAAACAAACGCCGTGACTCGGCGATCATTGGCGACCATGGTGACCTCATCCCGATAGCTGGCGTTTCCACCACGCCTATGGCGATCTTAGCGCGCTCTAAAACCATTTTCCGTCGCCGTAGCAGCGAAGTAAGGACGCCACCCCGGGCTGACGGGGGTATAAAGGAGGAGAGATCGTAGACTCACCCAGTGTGCATATAAGACTTAGATCCCTTCACTTCTTGGGGTGGCTGTGGATTTAATTAAGAAATGATAAACTCTCAAATCGTGCTGAATACGACTACTAGACACTTCCCTTGCCAGTCCCGTCGCGGTTTACGCCGAGATTCTAAACGGAGAGATTCTAATCGCGGGACACTTGAAGAAACTACAAATAATTTAGTTGAAATGTATTAAGCGAAAGATAATTAACCTTTTCCCCGAAGAAATAATTTAAATGTCAGAATAGTGTAAAAAGGGTGAATGGACTTGAAGGAGTTAGTATAACTTGTATGCTCTAACCCAGTCAACAGTACAAAAACAAGCAAATTAAATTAGATTTAAAAGAGGTTTAGCAAATTCATTTTTATGGAGTTGGTTTCAATTGATATCTGAAAAGAACCCAGGATTGCTGACAGCATTGTTATGACGAGGTCATTTTGGAAAACTGAGCGGAAATATCTGATTAGAAAATGAAATAGGTTCAATATCCTACTTTACAGCACATCCGTTTTTGTCCGATCTGAAAGCCTAGACATTGTTCCTTGCTGACGGAGGAAACCACACAGACAACCCCCAGGAACATTTTCGGCCGACACTCGGACCGAACCTCAGTCCACCCCGACTCCAAATATCTGATTAGATAATCTGAACGTAAAACTAAGTGGGGGCACAACAAGGACCTTGTTCCTTGTAGCGAAACTTAACGAACGAGTAATGACAACTTCTGCGACACGAAATATCACGTGATTGTACTTCTTTATCGTAAATACTCTAGATACACGAATATTCTTTTTAATCACTTCCTTTCCGGCGAATAAAAATCTATGGACTAGGAATTGACCATGTTGGATAAAAGTCAAAAATCTAATGTCGATCGGATTTGAAATGACGGAGACTTAGGCTTTTTCAAAGAGCGCATCCTAAGAACGAGAATGAAATATGGCCGCAATACGTTTCGCTTAGGTATAGATATCTAAACATCGGTCTTGGATCCTCATCGCCTAACTGAATTAACGTCCTGCTGTTCTGCTACGACTGGGAAAATGAACACGGGCTATGAGGGCGATTTTGTGCGGACAGCGGCGCTACGGCCTACTCTTATATCGAATTCTAACTGCTAAGGGATCTTTTACCGTCATGCCAATGTGTACACGGGACCTCGGTTTTTCGTCAATTCCGAACGACTTTACGTTGCCCGGAACCAATGACAAGGAGGAAAGACGCCTGAACATTTT